ACACCGCTGGGACGTGTGTCGGCGATCGAACGAAAGATCGGATGAAAAATCGGTGGAAAAATCGGTCGGAAAATCGGCAGAAAAATCGAAGGAAAAACGAGGCGCGACACGGTCGAAGGGCGACACGTTCGAGGAATCGCAGATCGATCTGCTCGAGCGTGGCCGCGGAGCTTCGACTGCGAACTTGGAGCGTTTGGTCGGGACCCGCGATACTCGACGGAACTTGGACAAGGTCAAGGGAACGAAAACCACCGGAGAACGAGCTTTCGTTCGTCTCCGTTCGCGCGATATCGATTCGATTATCCGCGTGCTGCGGCTTCTTGGTCGACGGCTTTATCCAATTCCGTGGAACTGGATAAAGGGAAAAAAAAGAATAGCGGGTCCGACCGAGAACGAAAAGTGTAGCGGGGGGTCGCGGGGTACGCGGGGTTATCTTTCTCTTTCGTCTGGCACCGAATCTCTTCCGTTGGTTTCCATCGCGAATGCTTCAGCGTCGTCCCGTGGAACTTGATGGAATTCGGACAGAGTTGCGTAGTTAGAGGGGGCCAGAGTCGCGGGGGCGTGATTCGTTTGTGCGATCGGACGAGAAGAAGGCGGGCACGAGCTCGGGCAGGATTCGATGCGCGGCTTCCAGTTGAGTTTTTAATCTAAAAATGGAAGACGTAGGATAGGGCTGACGAGCGGCGAGGCTCGACCTAGGCGGGGACCATAGACAATTCGCCGGTGGAAGACGACCGTTGGAATCGTCCATCCCTGTCGATCCCTGTCGATCCCTGTCGATCCTTTCATCGACCGAGCATAGGGACCTTCGACGATGGCGACGGAACGTGTGGCTCGAGATCGTAATCGTGCGATCGAATCTACTATCAACGAAATATACTACTCTGGGATTTTCATTTAAGGAGTCTTTTCTAACGGAATCGTTCTAAGTCGAAAGATACCTTACGTAGACGATAAACGAACCCTGTCGGCTCCAAACCATCACTATTCTTCTATAACTCGAGCTTCGAAACTTCCATTTAAATGCTTTCGATCGATATACACATCATTCGCAAAATAACGATCGAGGTCAATCAGTTTCCTATTTAATACCATAGTCATCTACGTTGCTATAAATTTCGAAACGCGCATTGCGGAAGAACAGCAACTGCTCGAAGGTCGTTCCTACTAGGGGTACAAACGCGTGAAAAGGGATCGTGACCGCGAAAAATCTGCACCTAAACGACACCACGCGAAATTCTGCGAAGAGAACGCGAAGTACTTTCAAGGAGGACATATCGTCTGGTATTTTGCTCGGTGAATTTCGGCAATGGCGGACAGACCGATGGGACGAGGAGCCCCTTGTACGTAACGTAGCAGGAACACATTTGTTGTGCCGGTGACGGCGCACGTCGCGACGACCCGTGTTCGTTCGTGCATATGAATCTTATCATTGATTTAAAGCCGTCGCGGTACACGTTCGCCAGCTGACACGCGCGGTTCACGCAGCGGACGTTTACGTAAAGATCGCTCGTGAACGGCCTGACATGTCACAGACGCGCCTATTATGCTCGATCATAGTTCGCTGTTACCACACGGTTAACGTTGGGTAAACCGTTGGATACCGTTCCGGTAATAAAACGGCTAATAAAAAGTGGCTGGAAGAAAGAAGACGACGCCTCGAGTTGAAGTTGCTCGATCAGGCGAACCGAGATTCGATTCAGCGGTAATTGGAACAGCTTCCGTGGCGGATGGCGGATACCAAGATGGCGGGTGATCGGCGGCTAATTCGCGAATTGATGGACGATTAACGGGTAATAGAGGGAAAAATCGGTGGACCGCTGAGAAATGAAAGGTGGTCGAAAAGACAGGACGAAAGGGGAGGTTTAATGGTACTCCGATGAGCTGACTGGCGCGGTCGGAATCTCTGGACTGATTAAAATTAGACACGGGAGATTTAACGCGGTGGTTTCAATTTCAAATTAGCCGCGCTGCGCGATGTTTAAATAAATTTCACCGGTAAAAGTGGGAAGGTCATATCTCGGGAATTAATGGACGATTAACACGCGGCGAAGGAAAATGGAGGACACTGGACCGCTGAAAAATAGCGATCGTGAAGGAAAGTGGGTGTAGCAGGGAGCGACGCTTAATGGGGTTCCGATGGGGTCTCGTCCTCGATCTGCCAGCCGACCAGATCATTTATCACTTCTCATTTTCTCCCGTTAACGTCGTCTCTCGCTACGTGCGAGCTGATTTACGAGTCTACGTTCTACCATCTTGCCGCAATCGATACGCGTCGAATTCTCCGTATCGAGGTATCCATAACAGCCCTTATTAACACGCATTCGTACGTGCCCTGAAACCCGGCTGGACGAACGGATTTTCATATTTCCTCGAACGAGGCATTCACGGTATGGGGTTGGGAAAAATTAGCACGCGATCTCGAGCCACATTTCGCCTTGCTTCGTTCCTTCGTGACGCTTTCGGAAGCATCGTCTCTCGCAGAAGGGATGATATACTACTGTCGAAGAACTACTCTGCGTGCTTCGAAAGACGAGAGGGGGTAAGACTGGAGAAAAGGCCGCTCGACTGGAAGAGGTAATCCTAAGGTCGATCTACGAGTTCTCGAAGAGATCTAACGATTTCGATCAGGGAGACGAGGCCCGGACTCGCCGTGCTCGAGGTAATTCGAAATTATCTGCCAGCGATAGATCTCGGGAGCGCGGCGAGCCCAGCGGCTCTTCCCTCTGGTGTCTAACCAGAATATTCGCTACAACATCGATTTAGAATTCGCCACCAGAAGAGAGTAGAGTAAGGCTAGAGATAATTTCAATTAGACCGTAGTGGCACGACCGAACGTTGGTCGACGGTGACTGATAACGAGTCGGTAGTAATCTAGACCGCTAATCTACGGGTAGAACCTTAGTATCGGCACGATCGATCACGTCCAAGCGGAACAAGACCGTTCCGACTGGCGCGTCGACCTTTCCACTATTCCAACCAAGAAATTCGAATTACCGTTCGAAATTCATACGATCCGACTCGTACACTCGAATCGCTGGAACATGACGCGAGAACGAGCAGAGAAGAGGAGAGAATAACGCTCGTTTCTCCAAGAACGGTAGCATCACAGAAGAAATGTATCACAAAGAAAAGCCCGGAGATTTCTCGTGCGTTGCGACTTCGCTTGCCAGGCAAGAAGCGCAAAGTCTCTCGCGGAAGCACGACCGAGAATAAAGCCGATTCGGCGTGCACGCGCGAGATCTCGATGAACCGTTGATCGTTGAGCGGCAAGACGCGCCTGGATCGGCCAAGGAAGCCTACGAAACGCGTTTACCATCCGGTGGAATGGGTTTTGGAGCGGTTCCAAGCGCAAGAGCGAACGCTCTCGTCTGACCGGCCGGTCTAGACCGACGCAGCACGTGCGTTCTGCGTTCCTGCGCTTTATTTATTACTCGAAGCGCGACGCGGCAAGGTGCGGCAATCGAGAGCAGGAGACTGCAGTGCACCACCCTCCGTTTTCCATCTCTCGATCTCTTCGATTCCCTGCCAAAGGGGACAAGGAGGAACGATAAACCGGTTCCCCCTCGATCGCTCGGAAGAACGCATCCATTTGCGTCTTACGTCTCCTGTTCGCGTTCCGCGCGCAGATATTTCAATGGGTTCTTTTAACTCGAGTTCGAGCGGATCTCATCCTGTCTGCTCGAGAAGGAGGAATCTGGGCGGGAGAGAATCTTCGATGCCGCCCACTCTGCTCCCAACGGCAGATTTATCCAGCTCTTATCAAGCCCACCGAATGATTCGTAGTGCACGCGAGCGCGTAGATAAAATAGCGAGAATATCACCGAGGAAGAGAAAGCACACGGTTCGAGATTCGAACCCTCGCTGGCAGTGCTTGAGGGAGAGCCAACCCCCTTCGGGGGTCGTGCTTAACAACCGGGATTCGATGTCACGAGCAACCACGATATTTCGTCGTCGCGGTCTACGTACGCTCAACGGACAATTCGTTATCTTGCTATCTGGACTAGCGGCAACTTCCTCGTCTATTCGGGTCGGAGTAGCTTGAAACCGAGAAATCATCCGAATAACCGAATCCCGGGAATTAGTGTCCGAGCGACCCGCCGAACCTAAACCGATCGCTCGGGTCGTCGGAGGATCCAGTCTCGAGAAGTTCTAGGATACGTAGCCCTGGATCGGAACACAAACGTTTCGTTCTTTTAAACACCGGGTTCGAAGGGTTCTCGAAGAACCGCCGGGTCGTACCGATGAAGCTGTGTACGACCGAACCCAACAGCCTGGCGATCTAGAGCTCGAACAGCAGCGAGAATGAAATTACCGAAAGTTCGAAAGGACTGCTCTCGACTCGGTTAGATACCGAGATCGAAATTAGGCAGACTAATAGGCAGACTCCTTAACTCCTTCTAAGATATGGAACGCTCAGTCTTCTGCCGATACAGCGTCCTCTCGTCGCCTCGAGGATAGCTGATATCCTGAGACCTGTCGTGTGATATGATTTACCTACACCTTTGTAATTCTACCTGTCTCATATCTGAAACTCGAGCCTAATTTACCAGACCGTCGAACAAGCCTAACCCAAACGGATAATCAACCCCGGATTCAAACCCTTGCGAGCGATCTGCGCGAGGAAAAAGACTCTGCACGAGTGGTGGATGGACTCACCAGAAAGTGGGGGTGCAGTGGGGTGGGACGATCGTGGGACCGATAATCTCGATCGCGGGTGAAGCTGAAAGGAACGAACGGTCCGATGCAATCGCTGTCCCGAGCCCGGCTCACACCCTTGTCTCGTTGTAGGGGCTGGAGGAGCTGGTGCCCTGGCGACGTTGCCGATCACTGTCACCGGGCACGTTAAACGCGACATTCGGCACCGTGGTGGGGTCAACCGGCTGATAATGGGACTGCACCGGCTGCCCGCTCGGCTGCGATTGGTGAGAGTGGGAGGAAGACGAGGGTGGACCCTCGCTTATGGAGGTCGTCGAGGCGAGAATACGGCGACCGCGTACCTGGTAACGTTGGGGGTAGCAGCGGCCGCAGCAGGCATGCAGCAGGCCGCCCCTGGAGGCAGTGCTGTGCGCGGGGGAGGTCAGGGGCGACGGCGAGCCCGGCCTCTTCGGGGCACCGTTGTAGGGTACCTCCATCTCCACGAACTCGCGATCCTGCAACAGAAATTGCGCATTCTCTCGTTAAAATGGAAATAATCGCTGGATTTCGAGCAAGGGTAGCGTGAAAACAGATGGGGATGGGGGTGTCTACATAGGACATTTTCTTGCTTTCTGTGCTTGTGGGTGTATTATACAAAGTGTGTCTGGTGCCAGTGAACGATGCGCGGAGTGAAGTGTTTGAGTGTGTTTATTTCTCAGGTCTGGGGGATAGTAAGAGTGGTCGTTCTCGGAGGTACAAAGGGGTGTGAATGCACGTGTAAGGGTGTTTAAAGATGAATGCAACGTGACTATAACGTTTATAGTCTCGGATCTATTTTTAATAAACGCAATTTTTACGATCTTTAAGAAACCTATGTCTCGACTTCGCCACCAATTTTCCCTACGCTATTTTATTCGGGGAGTATAATAATTGGGACGTATATGAGTAACTGCACGTAGTTCATTGTTAGTAAGAACGCTATAGATTCTTGGTACGCTTTATTCAAGAATCCACGTCGTTCAAATAGCGTGAAACGATGTGGCCTAACCGTTGGGCCTCCATCCTGGGACTGAATTGACTGACCCCAGGAAGGTCTCGTAAATTCTGCGACTCTAGTCTAAAGGAAAAGCTACAAAAGGGTTTCCAGATGTACAGTATAGTTCCAATAGTTATTACAAATAATAATTTTGAAGTCAAGGAACGCAGCAAAGTAAACGAAGCAAATAAGGCGAGAGTAGGCGGAAGAGATACGTAATCGCGAGATCTTTCGTTCGTAGTTGATACAGTAACTCTAACGCGTAGAAGGAAGCGAGAAATCGAACAGTTCCGCCTACTTAATATAGCGCCACATCGTTTTTAGATCAAGGATAAAGTTTTCTAGAACTAGTCGAAGGTACATATGTGCCCGCCAGGGTAGAGCCAATGGCTAAGTTTACAGTCTCGTAATTTACCGTCTAAAGTTTCGATCCCCCTTGTTCCAACTTTTATAATCCACGATACTATACCGATAGACCGTTGCTGTAAATTCCAGCGACTCCTTCCCTCAGGGAAATTCGTAAACATTTCGCGGAACCTCGAAACGAGCTTGTCGACCCTCCCCGTTTGGCATCCGCGTCCATTTTTAATCCAACACCGACGCGATCGAGCAGATTATGCGCGTCGTTGCACGACCTTAAATTATATATTCCATTTGGAAATTAAAGCAGCTTTGCTTTTCATCGCAGTTATCGACAACGTAGACGCGTTGCACGTGTAGCCAAAGTAGATCGAGAACGTGCCTTGTCAGACAACCTCTTCCCGTCTCGGCTCTTCGTTTACGTTTGATAGGTCTATCTCGGAACGATACGAGTCGATCTTCCTTTCGAAGCTTGTTCACCCTTGGAAATGGTCCGCTCCGGTATCGGGCGGAAGAAAATGGTGCTTCGAAAAGCGGAAAACGGGCTATAAAGCGCGAAATCGAAGAAGAAATACGAGGTGACGAGAACGATTGCTCGGAAAGCAATATTACTCGCCTTTTGACACACCGGACCACGCGGGACCATTTCCAACCAGGTCCCACTGATCGAGATCCAACTTTGGTCCGCCGAGTATTGCTCGCATCGTGTTGCGAGTTGTTTCTCCGCTAGAAGTACATAGCCAGAGGGAGGGCACGCGTTTATGCAAAGGTACACACGTCGTTACTCTCGTGTCCCGGCCATTTACGTCAGGATTTCCAGCTCAATCACGGCGAGAACACAAACGCAAACTTCATCGAGACTTGTCGATGATTTTATTAACGTCCAGAATTACGCCGAATTAGCGAGTGGAAGTTGAAAAGAGTAGGCGTCGAATTTCCCGTGGAATTCCCGATAATCGATGGACCAAGGGTGGAATGGAAAAAGGGCTAATCGACGCGAGGCAAGCAGCCGCAATGTCGGACCGCAAAAATAGACCAGTCCGTTCGTAACCTCATAGCGGGAATCGATCGCGAGCCACGGAAAATCTGTCGCACGAGTATTTAACCTAGCCTAGGCACAGCCTCCGAGGCTTCCCTCTGAATTTTCGCCGAGTGGTTTCCAGAAGAGATTGCGTGGCTGCTCCATTCCGCGGGATCGAATCTTCGCCGCGGAGAGAGTTCTCGCGGAACTGACGTCGAGATTACTCGATAACCACCCTTTTCTTTCTACTCGCCCAACTAGTTCCCGCTTTCATCCTCGAAACTTTGACAGTGGATAGGCTAGGTCTGACGTCCTCCACTTCCGATTGTCCAACGACGAAACACGCATACCTTTCCCTTTTCGTTCTACCTTCTATCTGCTATCTGTCTTGCACACGGTCGTTTTACTCGGAAAAATCGATAGGCTTTCGCATCGGTAAATTCCGGCTAAAAGGTCACACCGATAAAGCACATCGGGCTTGTCCAGCGCGAGCGAAAGTCAAAGCAGCCGACGAAGACGAATATCGGCGCGGGCTTTGAGAGTCATCGCGGCCATCTCTGTGTGAGCGTTATCTACGACGCCGGAATACTTTTCGAAACGTGGCTATTGATTGGCGTTTCCTTGTCAATAGACGGTCTATCGACTAAACGAGCGATATAATTGTAGCACGCCGACCAAGCAACATCGACCACGCTCCGTCGCGGACGGACTCGAGATGGCCGCGTTAACATTCATAAATTCGTTTCCCGTCGTTCGATACCCTGACCCCGTGCGGAGATTTAAATTTCATGAACCGCGGAATCGTGGCGGATCGCGACGACTCGGAAAATTCGGATTATTTTACAGGCACAAATCAGAATCGTGAAAAATTGTTAAGGGGTTATAATGCAAAGAAATAGAAGCCAGTGGAAACGGTGGAAAAACTGTATAGATGTTTATTAACACTTTGTTGACCAGCAATTTTACACAGAAACTGTGTCGTGTCATCGGCTATTATTTTGTAATCCAATCTTCAAAATCACTTTCACGCGCAATATTCTATATCATCCTGGGTTTCATAAATTGAAATAGATAATGCAAGTGCAATGACGAGTCAACTCGTCAATGGTCAACAACGTTTAGGCTGGAAAAGACGAGTTAACGAGTCACTGGTCAACAATGTGTCAACACTTTGACTAGCCACGTTGGTCATTGGTGACCGGAACGCTTGAACTACTTAAATTACATTGAACAACATTGAATGAAAATTGACAGTTAGTGCATTTTGAATATAACCGCTAATTAGAAGATACATTGACATAAGAAGTGCCAAAGATTTTTATTAGAATATCAAGAAAATATTCGAACAAATCTTGCATCTAGCGGTGCATCTCACGAGGCGTCAGAAGTGCCAAAGATTTCTATTAGAATATCAAGAAAATATTCGAACAAATCTTGCATCTAGCGGTGCATCTCACGAGGCGTCCTGAGCGAAACAAATAATTTCGGCGTGTCAATCAAAAGGTTAAACGGGCAAACGGTTGGAACTGGCCTGTCTGTTTAGAGCCATGCAGGTCAAAAGACGTGTCTAGAAAACGGTAAATAAAAGACACGCGCTGACAAAAGACAAAACGCAGAGGAAGAAATCGCCCCCACATCGCTAGGATGTAGAGTTTATTTCGTACGTATTTAGTTTCTATTGCAACAAAAATATTCCTCACTGGACCGCAACGAAGACGGGGGGTGTAGAAAAGCGAAGAAACGAGGAGAAAAGAGCTGGAAAAAATTGGAAACGAAGGAGAAGAACGGAGAGAGAGATGCTGGTAAACGAGGCAGAATCCGATCCGCGGCTTTATTCGCGCGAGTATTTCGGAATAGGCCAGCGTCTCCGGCGTTTCCCGGATTAAACTCGTCCTTATCGCGTCAGAGCCTCTTATTTTCGTTGCCGCGAGCGGCAGCGGAGCGTGGAAATAAAACGAGCCAACTCCAACGGGGCCTAGATACCCGACCGACAAAAGACATCCTGCTGCTCGCACCTCTATCGCTTCACCTCGCAGGATCTCGTTGATATACGAGCGTGTTCCCGCAGGAGGAAACGCGATTGGTCTTGCTTGGATCGACGAATGGACGAGTCGCGGGGCGACTCGGGGAAGATCCTTTATCCGAATCCTCGGGGCGAGTCTGGTGCTTCGTATGGATTCGTTCGTTAGTCCAGGAGCAGAGGAGGATCGGACGGTGAAATCGCGAGGCTATTGATCAAGGGGCCAACGTCTCGTGAGAACGTTTGGCGGTAGATGGTAGAAAGGGATGGAACGCGGTTGTATGCGTTTCTCAACTTTGTTTCAAAGCGGCAACTTAGACGGTTCTTTGTCACATACTGGAGCAAGGATACGTGTTCCACTTTGATCAGCGAACAATAGCGAGTTCGGTAATGCCGCGCTTTGTGCGATCAATCTCTCCCTGTGCCGAGACACGAGACAGCGGGGGTGCAAGGTACACGGACTGGCGTCAAAAGAAACGATCGTGGAGGAACGGACCGACGAGCAGTCTGGATCGTCAGCGAACTCGGAGCAAGACTGCAGGTATCGCGGAAGGGGTGTGTTTAACGCTGAAAAGCAGAGAGGTTTGGGTTTCCAGGAGAAGGAACAGGCCGGCTTAATTAATACGCGATGAGCAGTTAAGTAGCCGAGGAAAAAGTTTCTTCCAAGTTCCCGGGAATACCGAACTAACTATCATTCATTCTACTTCGAACTTGATGAATATAAATTGCACTTGCTCCAACTGCTCCGGGCGCTATGATTTTTCCGGCCAGGATGCGATCGTCGTTAGAAAAAGGATGGAAAAGGGGGAAGAAAAATTGGTGCAGAAAAGTTTATCGATTCGTCTGGAACGATCTTTGATCCCCGTGTCCGAACGATACTTAACACCGTCGTTATTTTACCCCGATCGTATTTTCATTTGGAAAATATACAATCGCGACGGAGTTGACGTCAGAGAATAGAAACGGGCAGGCCTGCGTGAAAAAGAACCCGCGTACAGAGCGGCGGCTTCTATAAACAGAGTGGTAGCGCTATTTTTGTTACGGCGGATTGTAAAGGTGGTTATAAACGCAACTGACC